ATGAGTACACTAATTTTCCTGATTTGATCATCACATATTGCATATATCTATTGATATTCACCACTGCACCCTACAAATAAATATAATCAATTATTTTTCAATTCAAAAATCGGTGGAAGAAAGAAAATGCCATAAATGAGAACTTCTTAAAAGATACAATGTAGATAAAAGGAGAATCAACACTACAAATAAAAGTTCATGTATGTATTCATTTATGATTATACTCTTGATAGTAGCTGAGTATATTTCTTTTATATTTATTTACACGAATGAAAAAATTGCTGAGGCATAACATTGCTTAAGATGACATCATTTGTTTGATGAAGAAGAAATTTTATAATCCATTTTATGAAAACTAATATGCTTTATTGTTTTGAAAGAAACTTTTAGCCAAAACAATTAATTAATATTGATTTCTTCACATCTTTAATTATCTTCATAGGTTCCATTTGGTTAGATGTTGTATTTGTGTGTGTATGAGTGTGTGTTAAATTTTGAGACAGGAGCTTTTTTATATTTTATAATTGTAAAATATTAGTAATGAAAGAGATCTTAAAGATGAGGTTCAAATTTGTTATTTTGCATGTAGGGTAGTGGAAGTTCATGAAGATAAAGTTACCAGGGGACAGTTAGCACCCATCCTTGCATTCACGACCACTCAGAGCTCCATGTTTCTCAATGCACCATTGGTCTTATCAGTGGATCCACCCAGTCATTCCTAATAACTTTTATGCTGCTTATTGGAACAGGGTGATTGGGTGACCACTTAGAATTCGAAATAAAATTATTGAAATAAATAAAAATTTTATTTGGCCTATAAAATGAATTCATGTAGATTAATGGCACTGTCATTACTGTGTTAAAATATTATCTAAAATACATTTTACTTAAAACAGATTTATGTTACCAACATTTAGAAATGCAGACATTGGTGAAGTTGACAAAATAAATTAAATACAAATTTCTTTCATGTTGGGAACTTTACGTTGGCATCCTGATTCCATGTAAGTTGTGTTTTAGTCTCATTGCATGCTTTGCTATTGAGAAATGTTCATATACTTATGTTTTTGTGTGTTTATAAATGTATACAGAGTCATTATATTTTACAGACTTCTATGTATGCCATTTCTCAAAGCAAAAACAGTTCTAATATTCATTCATATTAAGTAAGATTATTGTGAAATCTAAAGTCTCCTCTCTTCAATTAATACTATTATAAACAATTTATACCCTAGTTGAAGCAACTTTTTAAAAGTTTGAACATTACCTGCTTATACAAATTTTTTTAAAAGTTTGCATAGATATGTCTCTAGATACATTTCTATATTGACAAAACATGAAAGCAGATACATCGTTCCATTCTCTATTTCTCAGTTATGTAAAGTACACATTTTTTTGATCGTCAGTTTATAAGTTTATATTTTCACTTAGAACTGTATCAATAGAAAACTATCATAATATTTTCATCTTCAGCAATTGAAGAATGAATAAATTTTTAATATATTAATTATCCAAGATTATACTTCTAAATCCAGTTCCTAATAATTTAAGAAATTAGCTTGATAAGCTCAACAAAGTTCATAATATAAAAGAAAGATTATAAATACTTTTAAATAAAGTATGTTCTCATGAATTAGAAAAAAGTACTTTGTGTAAATGAATGTACATTGTTTCTTTGATTATGATTTCACATCTCATTTTTTATATTATACCAAAACAAAAATGCTGTTTTAGTGTCTTTATTGCAGAGCCATTCTTTTTTATGACAAAGTAGTATTCCATTAAGTATATATACCACATTTCCTTATGAATGAGGATATGTGGTATTTCTCTTTCTGTGCCTGGCTTATTTCACTTAACATAATTTTCTCTAAGTTTATCCATGTCAATTCCAACTCTTGGCTATTGTATACAGAGCTGCAATAATCATGGTGTAAGTTAAATTGATTTTTGAAATTAAGTGTTATGATAATGTGTTAGCTAACATATTGTCTTTTTCTCTTACTTTAATTAAAATAGTCTATGTTTATCGGGAGAGTGTGGTGCTGATAAAATAGTCTATGTTCATTTACTAGTATTTAAACTTAAATAACTAAAAATCTTTTCTTAATAAGATACATAAACATTCTATAGGACACAGATCTACATTGAAAAGTGTTGTTGCCATCTTTTTGAACCAGTTCAAAAAATTTACATGATTATGTTTTATAACTAAAAAATCTATAATTATTTTCATGGATTCAAAAGAATAGAATCAATAGATCTAATGTGTAGCTCCCAAATCTGCATTTTTATTGATTACCCTCGTGATTCTGATGCAAGCAATCTTCAGACAGCATTTCAAGAAATATATAAACTGTAAATTAAAATAAATAAGCACTCCATGTGTGCTTCTATATTTCAGCCAAAGACCTGAACTTTTTCATTTCGTGTAAAATTCACTAAGACATAGCAAAATTTGCTTACATAGTCCATACATATCAGCCCCTAATTAGCACAAGATGGAGGACTAGTTATTTAACTTCTTAGTTTACTTAGTGATCCAGTTCTGTTCTTCATTACCCAGTTGCAGTTCACAGTCTTTTGACTCAAGATCCAGGATAATCATGAGAGAAACAATACAGTAGACTGAGAAGGAAGTACACATAGGCTGACGTAAAGGTGATCAGGCAGATTGAAGAAAAGCCAGTAAACTCTAATGTGGCCACTCAGATTTTAGCTCCAAGCTGTCAATTTTAATGTCTTGTTCACCCTCAGGCAAACTGGAAACTACTGCAGCTGTAAAAACACATCTTATTTTACTGGTTTTAACTATAACCCAATTCTTAAAGAAATAACATTTGTTAATATATTTTTTATTATAAAAGCAATGTAGCCTTCCTGGGGAACATTTGGAAAGTATGTAAAAGTTATAAGGAGAAAATAAAACCATCTGTATTCCACTAGTCAGAAGCTATTCGAATTCCATTATACATAATGACATACATGTACACATATGTATATGTTTATGTGTATGCATCTTTTAAATTAGACGACTTCATGGAAATATACACAGAAGAGTACACAAACCATAATTATACAGCTTAATGAATTTCACATAGTGAACACACTTATATAACCACTACTCATAACAAGAAACTGAAATTAATCAGCACTTCAGAAGCCCAATTTTATGATTATGTCAGTTCATAATCTTTTTCCCCAAAGTGACCCCTATCCTGACTCTATCGCCATGAAAAGAGTATACCTGTTTTTGGTATTTGTATAAATGAAATAATATAGTATGTATACTTCTGTATCTGATTTCTCTCAATCACTCTTATGTTCATAAAATTCATCCATGCGATTACCTATAGCAGTAGTATGCTTATTCTTAGTACTATATATTGTTGCATTGCGTGCATAAAACAGAATGCATATAACCATCTACTACTGATGGACATTGGGTGGTTTCCAGATTTGGGCTGTATCATGCTGTTCGGACCATCTTTGTACATATCATTAAATAAAATTTTTATTAAACTTTAAATATAAAAAATGTACAAATCATACATGAATAGCTATGTGAATTTTCAAAGGATAAGCCCACTGATAAAACCAGTACACAGATAACCAGTACACAGATAACCAGTACACCGATAAAGAAATAATCCATTAACAATACCCAAGAAGTCCCTGCTATGCACGGTAATCTTTTAATGACTGCTGGACATGTGTATAAAAAAAATTATAGAGGCTTGGGAGAAAGTTATACTGCTGAAAAGAGAATTTTCTTTTGCTTCTATCAGAATAGGTGCATATCACTTTAATCAGAGTTGGACCATTGTGTTTAAATCTGAGTAGACCTGGACTAGTCCCATGAACTGTTACTCATATAGTGTAGAACTTCAGTGATCCTACAGAAAGCAAGGGGTATTTAGCAGGACCTCTCTCCTTGGTAGCTAGGAAATCCATTTTTTTACCCCTCAGGCCCACAACTGCTGCAAAACCTCTTCAAATCCACTCAACTTGAAGTCACTACCTTATGCTCAGCTTTTTAGCCTCACTCTAAATCACTTACAGATTAGTAAAAACTGTATCTGTATTTTTTTAAACAAAAGTTGGATAATTCTCTATTGACAGTTTCATCCTTCTTTTTCCTCTTCCTTTTTATTTACATCTTATCAAATATTTTAATTTTACAGCATACTGGATGTTTTACTTTCCAGAATAGGGTTCTTTCTTTTTCTGTCTTTGCGCTCAGCCTTCTGCGATCTGCCCCATACTGTGGCAGAACTAGGTACAGGTCATGGGCTGTACTTAGGCTTTGATTAGAGAGAGCAGATGCCAGCTGGAGTCATGTATGGAAGATGTTCTTTGATTGTGCAAAAGTCATTGACCTACATAATATTTTCTGGTTGGAGCAGGCCTGGGATTTACCTTTTAACTAGGTAGCACATACTACTGGTAAGTTTACCTACTTACCATTTCCACAGGGTAATCATTTCATGATGAGGGTATAACAGTCAAACTCATGGTTTAGATGTAAAGCTAGAAAATTAGTAACATAGTATTTTATAATAGTGTTAGCTTGCCTGAACATACCCATTCGATGTACTATGCTATTTTATAATGTACTAGTTTTATTTTTAAACTATGAAAAATGAAAGTGGTGAAAACTACAGAAATGGTACATTTCAGAGATAAAGGGGTAAATATGTATATAAACAAAAGCTTGACACCTGTAAAATGTGAGCAAAATAAAGGTAAAATTATTTTCTAAAAGTAAGCCTTCAGGAAATATTTGACATTTTCAAGAAGATATTTGCCCTTTAATATCATCATTTGCTTTTTCCATCTATTTGAAAATTGCAAGCTGTTTCTTTTTTTCTTTTTCTATTTTTTTGACTAGGATCAAGAATGAGACAGTTTTCAGATAGACATATGCCAGGATGACCACTAACTGAATTTAGAATGAAAAAAAAGCTCATTTTATATTTAATCCTTTGTTTTTCTTTAAGACTTCAACTGCCACAGTAAATGTGGTAGTGACAGATGTCAACGACAACGCTCCAGTGTTTGATCCCTATCTACCTAGAAATTTATCTGTGGTGGAGGAAGAAGCCAATGCCTTTGTGGGCCAAGTAAGGGTAAGTGAAAAATTTATATATATCTTAAATGTATTTTTTTAAGTGCATAAGTTTTTTACGTTTTAATTTTGAAAAGAGAAACAGCTAATGTAATATGTTAAATGACTCTACTGGGTACACTTCAAGATTTTTTTTTTAAATCGTATCCTATACGTTTGGATTTAACTTATTAATCATTTTGATTTTCCTTTTATGATCACTGTGTAATTTAAACATTGATTAATGTGTGATTATTCTTTTATTATTTAATATATATTTATATTTTCTGGAATTAAACTATTTTTAGAGAAAATGTATACCATTAAGTATGGAAGTGGACATTCATACCTCAAAATGCACATTTAGATGTGAATTCACTTGATTATGTAAACACGATTTTGGCATGTATGTGTTGCACATTACACAAACCCCTTGTCCAGCATTCTGAAAATTCATTTTTGAGGCATGGTCTCCTGGTAACTTCCTGGGCATGTTAGGCAATTTCTGCAGTTCTTTTGATGAATAATTCCTTTATTCTTAAACAAGGATAGTACTTTCTCTGATGGGTCATGCTTGGTCTTGAGCATAGTTAATGGTCTGGAAGTTGACAGGAGAAAAAATTTTGAGGCTGGTGTGCATATTTTGAAGCATCTCAGATGAGGCATCTGTGTGGTCTCCAGGCAAGTAAAGAATCCTCCTCCTCTAAGGAGTGAGCCACCCAGGTGTCCCATATCCATGTTTCAGGATCCTACCCCTTCCCTACTAAGGCCCTGACTTTGGTGTAGAATGATTGCTAGTGCTGTGAAATAAGACTTCTCCACAATTCTGATACATAACATACAGTTAGGTACAGGGTGTAGTTTTTAGTCCAACCATTCTGGCTGCAAAAGAACAGGGTTTATTTAATTGCTGTAATAGAGATCTTGTGACTTTCACACCTTGTCCTGAGATTTTGATTGGCTAGTTTGAGCATCTCATTTTTTTCCTTCACGGCACTGACAATACTTAATACCAACTCTACAGTCATTATCATTAGCATTGTCACTCTCTCTCTCTCTCAAGTCCTGGAGAGATTGTATAAGGCATACATCCACTTACACTTTTATGCCATCCCCGTTTGTCATGGGGGAAAATCTTGTTCATTGTGATGTTAGAACATGCCAGGGGGCCTTGATGTTAACTGGCCAATAAACGACTCAACTACAGAATCCCATCCAAAGACTCCACTGCACCCACAGTAGCACTGGTATCAAATATCTTACTGTGGGTTGTGGGTTCTTCACACACAGAACAACAACAACAAACAAACAAATAAAACAAACAAAAAACGGAGACAAAAGATTCAGGTATAAATAGTTTGGATTTTTTGTTGTTGTTGTTGTCTTTGATAAGTTAGGTGACACTAATATGAAAATGAGGAACTGATGCAAAGAAGAGATGGCAGCCAATATAGGGGTTGCTGTTAAACCAGCCATCAGAAGGGGAACTGGAGCTTAATCCCAATGGCAAACTTTAGGAGGGGGTACAAACTCATGTATCAGAATTCTCTCTCCTGATAAGTGATGGAACTTGAAAATGTATAATCTAAATCCTGACAGGTCTTGGATGAAAACACTGTGGAGTAGCATGACAGATTTGGGGATCTTCTTGCCTCTAGGACAAGAAAGTAGCCAGATTTGTTCTGCAAATCTGATATAAGGGAATTAAGTCAGACTGTAGATACTAGTAGATGGAAGTTGGCCAGAGGATACCAAATGCTCTGAAGCACATGCATAGGGCACTGACAACTTCTGCTACACCAAGCAAACAAATTGATAAAATCTATGGTAAGGGTGTGTGCAGATAACAGAGAAGATGATGCTGAAGTTGACTCATTAAGAGGAATGTTGATAGAGGTTGGGAGCTGTCTAGGGAAAGGTAATTGCATAAGTAGAGATATAGAGAAATGAGAATGTGACATGTCATAATTACAATAAATAACATATGCCACATCATTTACATATCTCTATACTATGCTGTAGAAGGTGCTGGGGAAACCTCAGAAGGGTCTGAGGTATGGCAAAATCAGATTTGTTTTTCATAAAGATTATTCCTGAGTAAACTGTAATGGGAGTTTCTAAATCTGGAAAGCTGAAACAAGAGGCAAGTGTAATCGCCCAGGCATATGAGGCTTGAGCTAATGTAATAGTCTAATCATAATGATTATTAAATCACATGACATTTGTCAACTCCACAGTGCCATATTGGGAGAACTAAAAATTTTATTTAGTCACATCTATCAAGTATTCAAATAAAACAAACAGGTAGAGAAATCAATTATGTTTTCATTGTGTAATGATACAATTTTTAAAAAAGAGTATTTGGCAATGGAAAAAATAATAAAATTCTTTGCATTGCAAAATAAAATCGTTTACAAAAATTATCTTTAACATTTTCATAATATATTTAGCAATGGAGATATAAAGCCCACATGGAATGCACAACTAATAATGCACAAGTAGACATCAACATGATGATTAGTTTTTAATTTTCTTTTCCTTTTGCAACTTTTCCTAGTGATTTTTCTACATGCAGATATTTTTTCATTATCCTTTCTTCTTGACTTCTAGTTCTTAAATTTGATAAGAAATGATCTTTATAATTTATTTCAGTTTTAAAAATTGAAATAGGAACCTTAACACTTGTGATTAGATATAGTGTAACTGGCCTGGTCTTTAGGCAGTATTATGCTTTCATAAAAACTAAAACGATTTTGAAAGTACAGAGAAAAGCATTCAAAGCAGGCTGCATCCAACTGATTCTGCAGTTTCAGACAAGCTGTAATGTTCACAGAATGGAATTTTGATGCATCATTACGGTCTCCTGTTGCTACCTAGTGATAATTATATAATACATTAATTTCACTAAATGAATCATGCTTCGCTTATAAAATTTAATTTTAATTGTCACCAAAAACTATTAAAACACACTTAAAACCAAGATAAGTATGGTTAACTACTGTACTGAATTTGAGTTATCGACTTTGTGTTTATGTCCTAATGGTATTTTAATATGAATAATCCAATATTTGGATTCAAATGCTCAAAGGACTTTTTATTTACTTGTAAAAGGCAGTATGTAGCAACAAACTATATTAACTAAGGAATGGTTCTGTAGCAATATTTATGAATCATACATAGCAAAAAAATTTTATCCAGTCTTAAAAAATAAACTACCAACCAGCAATTATTTAATATAGATCTTACTATGCACAAGGTATAGAGTACCTCATTTAGAGTTGAAAATCTTATCAATATTCTCAAAGTACTTACAGTAGCAAAATAGTAGGAGAAAAAATATGCATGCAGTATAAAACCTAGTAAACACAGTAAGAATATACTCTATGTCAAGTTTCAAATGTGTGATGTAAATTATTTACTGAAAGGAATGAGAAACATTATAATGGACTGAGGTGGCCAGGTCAGAAGTCATGGCAAAAGCAGATCACCAGTGGTTTTTGACATATTACTGACAATAATGGAAGATTTGTTTGAAGAAGATCTGGAAAATTGATTAAAAACATGCTGGGTTCAGATGGGGCCTAATGAATAGTGACTTCATTGTATTTCATGGAAGATAGGAACTATAGTATCTATAGGCATATCCTGACTCTGGACCACTTCGTGACAATAGTTCATCTTCAGAATGGGTCTCAGATATGAGAGGCCTCATACTAGCTACTGCAGAAGTCTCAGATGATCCCAAATCCCTGGGTAAGCAGATACCAGCAGAAGACCCTATATGTTTCTATGCAGTCATAGATTAACTCTGCAGCCCTGGCCTTAGGTCTCTTGGAGCTCTGCACAAAAGACCAAGCATTTGCTAGTCTGGAATTTATAACAGCAGAGCATGACATAACCTCTGTGAAGGGCCCTTCAGCCTTTAGGTAGATTGATTCTAAGGCAATCTCCTAAACCTGTGTACAGCTTTTATCCACTTTACTTTAACCTGCTTTGGGCTGAACCATGACTTCTAGACTCACCACAAAGTAGCCCCAAACTTCTCATCTTACCTACCAGCCCTCACCTCTTATACCTCCAACATAACCAGGAGGAGAACAGCACTCCCTGGTCACTTGGTTTATCTTTTCACTAGATCATATAATTCAATAAGTCCAGACCCAGCTTCCCAACAAAATACTGAACTTAATAAACAGGTTAAAACATGGGCTGTGGAATCAGACTACCTGAGGTCAAATCTGACTTACCGAAATGACAAATATGATCCTGGATACGTAATTTAGACTCTCTGGGTCTAGGTTTCTTTATCTGCAAAATGGAGATGATAATAGAATTCATTTCATGTGGTGATTGGAAAGATTAAGACATGCATGTAATATATGTACAATGTTTACATGAATGCATGAAACGAATATGCACTTGACTTTTATTAGTTATTATAGTTAGGTTAAATCATTAATTAATGGAGCATAGCTACCTATAGTATTATAGAACCTAATATTTTAACAATACTATGAACTAAATGCAAGCAACTGTTTGTAATTTTTCTGAGTTATAAGTGAGTTGTACTCTTGCATTTTCCAACATAGTGCCATGTATAAAGAATACTTTTATGGAATAACTGTTCTTAATAAAGTATAAAATCTTAAGTTGATAAATAATTCTTTTTTACATCATTACTGCAAACAAAAGCATAGTCAGTCAATTTGCAAACAACATTTTTGCTTTTCAGGAGTATTAGCCCAAGTTTGGACTTTGTTCACAACAAAAATACAAATCTATATGTAATCTATATATAGTATACACATGCATGCGTGCATATATTCACTTGAACAATGCTTTAGAACTTGAAAGGAAATAAAAAAAATATTTGTGATTATCAAAATGCAGTCTGCGGTTACAATCCTGATTTTTGTGTTTGTGTGTGTGTGTGTGTATTTCTCTTAAAATAAGACCAGCTAGTGGAATATATGGAATATGTTGAAAGAGACATGTTGGATAGGCCACAAACTACAATACAAA